ATCGTGGGCGTGGTCCAGTGGGATTTCTATCCATGACATATGTGTAGCGGCGGGCTGGAGCTCCCCGTCTACCTTTGTCAGGTTTTATAACCTAGAAGTTCCTGCCTTGCAGGCTAAACTTTTGTCAGTTTAAAGGAGATGTGTATTCTGCCCAGATCTTCCTGCTGAGATCGCTCTCACGTGACTCAGCTCTCCTGGTTGAGCTGCACCAGTAGGGTATGTGCCATGTGCCTATACAGACCAGCGCGCTGCTCTGTATTCCCTATGAGTGCTTAGGTACAAGTGATGGCCACCTTATTTCTTCCATTTATTGGGTTCCCCTGAAAGTTCAGGGACTCATGGTGGATGGTTGGCGCGCACGGCGTTGACAAAGTGTTCCCGTAGCGTAAGCTAAACTAACGCAATACGAGAGAACCTCTCGTAAGAGAACGATACTCGGTTACTTAACGTAACCTCGGTTCTCTCTAGAGATGGAACGAGTATTGCGTAACCGGCCGTGCTCGCGCCACGAGCGACTTCGCTTCAGTCGACGAAAAACCAGGGATGTCAGCCTACAGCTCCTATTTTTATACGCTAAGCCATGCCCATTCTGGCGGGCTGTGACGCTATGAAGGCGCGAGCGCCCTTCATTGGGCGTGACGTCACGCGGGGCGCTCACTGGTAGGCTGCAGCAGTTGCCCGCAGGGCAGCCAATGAGCACGCGATATGGCCTGCTCTAGGTCTGCTAGCTGCTGCACTGCGTTGACAATGAACACAAAATTAAGGATAATTTTTTGGCTTCAATATCTCGAGAAGATTAATCTTTCCCGTAGCGTAAGCTAAACTTTTTTTTTTTTTTTTTTTTTTTTTTTTTTTTTTATTGCAAATTAACAAAGGAATAATACATACAAGGTAGTGAGACACATATACAATACATAAGAGAGAAAAAGCACAAAAACAAAACAAAAACAACAAAATACAAAACAGCCCAGTACAGTCATCGATAAAGTGGTGTATGTAGGGACATGAGATCCTTTCTGTGATGCAAGTATGGATAGGGACAGTCCGGTGGTATCAGTATAGTTTTAGTGAAGTATTAATTATCCCAACAATCACAACAACAACAGCAATATATTAATATTAGTGGTGATAGTATCAATGATAATATTTATAATGATAATTCATGACAATAATAGGAGCATTAACTCTAGAAATCTATAATAATAGTAACAATAGTACTAATAACAATACATTTAGGTCAGTCAAAAAGATGTCACCGTACCTGCTCTAAACTCTAGGTCAGGGGGCTGATCCACAGCTGCCAGTGAGCACAACCAACAGACATCCCCACCCCCCTACCCACACAAACACCGACACCTCTCCTCTATTCAATAATCCGATTCCCCCTCACCGCCGCCAGCGACACCCAACCCCCGTAGTTATGTTTTAAGGCTCCATTGAGGTTTCCTCTAAAAAGTGCGCCGGGGCACCATAACAGGCACCTCCAAACCAAGCTCCCTTAGTTTGTTTGTGACCTGACATAACCAAATGTTATGGGTGGTTGGCCCTCTTGCCCCCTTTTTTTTCTTTTTCTTTTTTTTTTTCATGGCTTTGAGCAAGGTGTGCACTGGTTAGCTCCCCAGCCAGAGACACCACATCCAACCCAGGTATCAAATCAATATTATTCTTTAACATGAGGGAGGGATCTGGCCAGAGGCAGTGAAAGGGAGGGGCCAGTCAGTCCAATCACTAAGTCTGTAATGATTATGCCAACAGGATATGCCAGTTGTACCCACCACCAGCACCTAGAACAGACGCCCGACCCAGACCATTTATGTTTTGAACACAATTTTATACATATTTATACGTAATATTTTCTGAATTGTCATTTATATAGAACGAGGGAGGAAGGGAAGACTAATCATTCTATAATAATAATAATAATAATGTCAATATCATCATCCCTACTACCACCATCTTTAATAAAAATAAAAATAGCAATAGTATGCAGAAATAAAATAAAAGTACAACTTATCGAACATATACAGGTATACATACATACACACACACATACATATACACACGCATGCATACATCTACACATATATACAAATATACATACACATACATACATACAAATAGATACATGTACCTACATATATATATTATATATATATATATATAAAGGACATCTATACTGAATAATTATAGTACTTGTACAGTAATACTCAGAGATTATTCATTATTTGTCTATAAACGTGTAGTTTGGAGAATGCGTTGGTCCGGTTCCAGGTTATTGATTTATATGAAGATAAGTTAGGAATGGTTTCCAGATATCAAGAAATGTAGATATAATATTCTTGTTAGTGTATGTTATTTTTTCTAATGTGATGTACTCTATTAGAAGATTTGTCCAGTGATTGATATGTATACAGTTCTTGGACTTCCAGTTTTGCAAAATTACTTTCTTGGCGATAGTTAGAGAGATGAGGAGGGGGTTTTTGTATTTGATTGGGAGATTAACAACTTCCATGCAGTTATTAAGTAAACAGAGTGACGGGGATGGAGGGATTCCACAACCCATGATAACGGAGAGTTTTGTGGTCACTGATATCCAAAATGAATGAACTGATTGACAGGTCCATAGGGCATGAAAATAGTCATCTGTGCTCCCCAGTGTGCATTGTGAACAAATGTCTGTGTCCCTCAGGCCCATTACAAACATCTTTCTTTCGGTGATGTGAATCCTGTGAATGATCTTGAACTGTATGAGCTGGAGGTTAGTGTTATTAGTCATTGAAAATGTGTTGCTACAGATTTCCTTCCAGAGGTCGGTGTTGGGGGAGAAGGCTAAATCTTTTTCCCATTTATTCATGGGTATTATAATTGCAGTATCATTATTTAATATAAGTTTATGTAGTTTGGATATTAGTTTGTTGGTATTAGTGATTTTCATTATATCTTCCATTAACTGAGAGGGATGAAGTGGGTTATTAATTATGTTGATCTTGGTTTTAACTATGGATTTAATTTGTTGATATTGTAGAAACTGTTCTCCCCCAAGACCGTACCTCTGGACTAGTATTTTAAATGATACGAATTGGTTGTTTTCAAATAAGTGATGGAGATGAGTGATTCCTTTTTGTTTCCAAGATGGAAAATTGATCGGTTTATTGCATAATTGAAAATCAGGGTTGAACCAAATGGGGGTGTATCTACATGATGTTAATGGTGAATTATTCATTTTGTTTACTTGCCACCAGGCTGTCAGTGTTGATGCAATTGTAATATTATTAAAATAGAGCATTTTCTTAATTGATTTTGGTAGAAAGGCAAGGTCTGAAATTGAAGTATCTTTGCAATGGTTTTGTTCTAATTCCATCCATGAATTATTATGATTATTTTTATGAATCCATTTATATAAATATTGTAGCTGGTTTGCTAAAAAGTAATATTGAAAATTTGGAGATTCTAGGCCGCCGTGTGATTTTGTCTTTTGTAATTTTTCCAGTGATATTTTAGGTGTTTTATTTTTCCAATAGAAGTGAGAGGTTAATGAATCCAGTGATTTGAACCATTTATTAGTGGGTGTTGTTGGAAGCATTGAGAACAGATAGTTGACTTGTGGTAAAGTTTTCATTTTAACTGTAGCAATGCGACCGATAAGTGATAGTGGTAGGTTAGTCCAGCGTTTTAAGTCATCTCCAATTTTTTTTAAAAGTGGGGTATAGTTAAGATTAAACAACTCTGACAGTCTGGAGGAAATGTTAATACCCAAGTATGTAATGTTGCCAATGTGGAGTGGAAGAGAAGAATCATGAGCTGTGGAATCCCAGGCGCCCTCAGAAAGGGGTAATATTGTTGATTTATTCCAGTTTATTGTATAATCAGAAAGTTTTGAAAAAATATTAATAATTTTAAAGGTTTCTTTCAATGACTTATAAGGGTTTTGTAAACATAACAATAGATCATCTGCATAAAGACAGATCTTATGTTGTGTATTGACGTTTTGTATTCCTTTGATATTATCATTTTGTCGTATTGCTGCTGCAAGTGGTTCTATAAACAGGGCAAATAAAGAAGGAGAAAGTGGGCATCCTTGTCTGGTCCCTCTGTGAAGTGTGAAATTTTGTGATGTGATCCCATTTGTTGTTATTGTGGCCCTAGGTGAAGTATATAGTATTTTAATCCAGTGGATGAATGACTCTCCAAAGCCGAATCTATGTAGAGTGTTAAAAAGAAATGTCCAGTTAACTTTGTCAAATGCTTTTTCGGCATCAAGTGATACAATTATAGTTTTAGTGTGATTTTGTTGTGCAAGGTTAATTAGGTTGAATAATCTACGCATATACGCATACGCGCATAAGCTAAACTTACGCAATACTCGTTCCCTCTCTAGAGAGAACCGAGGCTACGTTAAGTAACCGAGTATCGTTTTCAAAAGCTTGCATTTCTGGGTTCAAAAATGCTGTTGTTGTGTAAATGATCTTCCAAAACGCATAAAAAAGTTTTCTGTTTCTATTTTAAAACGGCCCCTTAGTATTGTCATGAGTCCAGTTTTTGCTCATTGAGTGAAGCAACTCACTTGATGTTTGTGATGTTGCCTTCCATAGCCTGAACACAAACACTCTTCTGAACAAAAACTAACATAACAGAAACTCTTTTACATGTCAAACACAACAGAACATTAAACACTAACTGGCCTTTTCCTAAAAAAACACTTAAAATTACACTTAATTTCAACATTTACTCTCCTGATCCAGATCTTTACCAAGGATACGTTTAAGTTAGTGCAACACAAATTATTCAGGTAGTCCCAAAACAAATGGATTACGTAAACTTTAGTTTTACATATTTAAGTGGATTTCACACAATACAATTAAGACAATTTTTCAGTAATTGTGTGGTTTAACTCATTTTAATTAAGTAAATTTAACAAGCAGCAAAAATCTATTTTACTGTGTACATTAATAGACCATACAGATTCATAATTCCTGATTCTGATGTTTTATCTCCATCAGATTCTCATCAGTTCACTCTGGATCTGAACACAGTGAATAAACGCCTCCGTCTGTCTGAGAATAACAGAGAGATTGAACTCACTGACACAGATCAGCCGTATCCTGATCATCCAGACAGATTTGATCAGTGGTCTCAGGTGTTGTGTCAAGAGAGTGTGTGTGGACGCTGTTACTGGGAGATTGAGTGGAGGGATACTGTGTGTATATCAGTGTCATATAAGAGCATCAGCAGGAAGGGTAAAGAGTGTGTGTTTGGAAATAATGATCAGTCCTGGGGTTTGTACTGCTCTCAATTTAGTTGCTCATTCAGACACAATAACATAAAGACTGAACTCACTGTAGAGCCCATCAGTCGTAGATTAGGAGTGTATTTGGATCACAGTGCAGGAACTCTGTCCTTCTACAGCGTCTCTTACACAATGATCCTCATACACACAGTCCAGACCACATTCACTCAGCCGCTCTATCCGGGGTTTAGGATTGGTTCGAAACCGTTTTTTTTTTATTATGGATCATCAGTGAAACTGTGTTGAGGAATCAGAATAGATTCTAGAGAGACCCAGAGCCGAAACCTACATTGATTGGGGGCCACAGGCAAAATGAATCAATGAGGCCCTTTTAAAAGATTTTTTTTTGTTAATATATCTTCATTACCTAGATATATTATTATATAACATACAAACAGTAGTCAAAACACATCTAATAGAACATAAATTGTTTATTTTTTACAACATTAAAGTGCTTATGTTTTATTTAAAGAAATGTCCATCTTCAAGATATAATAAAATCTTCATATTTATAACGGATTGACGCTCCACACTCAACACAAACACCTGGATATGCACCTAATAGCGAACATTTATCTAGGTTAACATTAGAGCGAGCGGCTAGGCCAGATGGATAAATGCTCTTCATGTTTAGATGGATAAATGCTCTTCAACTAATCAAATCATGCATTTTATACCTATACCGTGAGTCAGCGCTTTGTCGGTTTTGAAAAAGGCTGCTGAGGCGAGACGGTAAAAGCATAGCTAGCGTAACGAGAGAGGCGGACCCACTAAGGGGATGCAGAGATGTTGCTACGTCTTTATATTAACATTTCTGATTGTTTAAGTGATCAGCCCTTGGGTCCCCTCTCAAAATACAGGGCCCCCGGCAATTACCTGCATTGCCTGCCCTATTGCGACGGCTCTAATTCTACCCATAATACTTTTGAGCTGCATGACAAATCAGTGACTTACAGAAGATGTGTTGTTACTTTTCTGTTCATGTGTTTTAAAAATGTCATTTGTGACCTTTTGCTTAATTCCGTTTTTTTTATATCATTTTATTTTCTTATGTTGTTTGGTTTCTTCTCAATGTTTCATGTTTTGTTATATGATTTAAAGTTCAAAGAAAGCACACCAAACTCTTTTACAAACGTTAATGTGGTGCTTACAAAAAAGAAAAAAAGAAAAGAAAAATAATAATTTGTGTCATCAGAATATATTGTTGTTGTTATTGAAAAAGAAATTGAATGTTGTTAATGCATGCTTTCTGTATGATTTTAGATGATGGCGATTGATATTCCTTCCCTATGGACGATCGATTATTTGATTACTTTTGCCTTGGGACTTGTTCATCTGCTGGGGGAGGGGGGCGCGCTGTGCAGACAATACAGAGACTTAGAAAGTGAAGCTGTCCTGTGTCTTTATTGACTTTAATACTTCCCCTCACCATGTATGAAATGAATAAATTGTCATGGAAATACATTTTGTGTAAGTCAAGGTTGTAAAAAATGGCAAATGTCATTCTTTGAAGTATATAAATAGTTTGTATATACAGTAAATGTCTAAGAGTTTGGTTCAAGTTAACATGTGTTTATCACGTGTGAAACTTGTAAATGCTAAACTGATGGCAGAGACCAAGCGGTTACAGAAATGTGAAAACAGAGTAAATTTACGTGTATGATTTGTGCTTTTGATAACTAATGTAACAGTTAACAGTTAATGTAACAGTTAAGGTGTTTAAAAAAGGAACGTATTGATTCACAAGAATAAGTGTAATGAAGGTGTTCATGCTGATTGTGTGTAAAACCATTTAATTATTTTTGCAAACACATGCAATAATTCCAGAGCTTTTTTTAAGTAGTTCAAGAGAGTTCAAGACATGGGAAACGGTACATATGTTTCAAGTTGTTAGGTAGAGTAACATTAGCCTGGCTCCGCCCTCCTACGCACTTCCGCTCAATTTCATTTTCCTTCAGTACTACGTCTGGGACTGCTGTGTATTCTTAGGTTTCCAGAAATACATTTTTTGTAGGACCAATCAGCGAATAGAGGGAGTGGCTGAGAACGATGACGTTGATGTAGCGCGTCAGTTTGAGTTGGAGTTCAGTAACGGCAGCGGAGAAAGACGTGAGAAAATCTATTCGGTCAGTTGTTGCAAAACTTCCGAATATACAGAAGTTAAAGCCGGAGCAAGATCAATGTTTGCTAAGTGTTGTTGGTGGCCATGATGTTGTGGCCCTCCTCCCCACGGGGTTCGGGAAAAGTTTAATTTTCCAGCTCACTCCGCTAGTGGTGAATGAGTTAGCTAAGGCGAACGATAGGGATGCAAAGCCTATAGTTGTTGTCATCTCTTCTTGTTGCACTAATGGAGGACCAAGTGAGGGAGGCAGAAAGGTTAGGAGTTGGTGCTGGGCAGCTCGGTGTGCACGATGATCACTGTACAGAATTTGCAGCAGATCCAAAACGACCGCAGCGGCGTATTGTTAATGATTACACCCAGCTTCTACAGTTGACTGAATACATCACTGTTTACACCTGGCCACTTCATGCGTTTTCCGTGATCGGATAGCTATCCGATCGTGAAAAGACCAGGTGTAAATGCCCTCTGAAACGCATTCGAGACGGATTTAAATCCGATCACTCAAACCACTTCAGGAGGTGGTCTGGGCCGCATTCCAGATGAAACTGGACAAGTGTAAATGCATCTGGTTGTTGAAACCACATATGTAAATTTCACTCCTCACAAAAATGCTAAAAAATAAACGTGTGAGAGCGTGTTATATAGGCTATATGTCATGTTATAGTCAGATATGACGTCGCTACTGCAACACGCATTACCGCAGATGAGCAGCTGAGCATCTATTCATCAAGCCAACGTGCAAACTATCGCAAATCAAAGTGAAAGTAAGTCGCAGACGCTTAACACACTAATCATCTTCATTAAAAGTAAAGAAACGAAATGATCTTACCAGGGCTGTTGCCGCTCCCTCTTATTGCGGTCTTTGATTTTGAAATTAGCTGATGATCAATAAAATGCAGCTCATATCTGTTGCTTTCGGTGACGTGCACTCCATTAAATCTGCATATAGCGCGGGAATTGAAGATCGGATTTATATCCGTTTTGCAAAAACACATTTATGTGACCAGGTGTAAATGGAATCGTTTTGATAAATCAGATAGCTATCCGATCTGAGAAAACGCATGAAGTGGCCAGGTGTAAACAGCCCCTTAGTGTCAAATATACATTTAGAATTTAGAATTGTTCCTTGAACTCTTAAATTCGATGAACAAAATATGCAGCTCTCGTTGACAGACATCTTATTCTAAACATAATCCTCTGATCATTCGGACTTGTTTTTTTTTTATTGCTTAAAACAATACACAAGTAATAACAGAAAACATTATACAAAAAAAAAAAAAAAAAAAAAAAAAAAAAAAAAAAACAATAGGGGGATAATATAAAATAAACATTAACAAGTTAAGAGAATTACATGACACTGAAAAAAGGAAAATAATTACAAACAGATAATGTTTTTAAGGCTTTTTTTGTTCTCAGACAACTTAATTGAAAAGAGGTATTTTTAAAATTCTTTCACAAATATAAGAAAGAGAGGTTTAGCATTTAGATATTTAGATTTATGAATATGGAATTCGGACTTGTTTCCAGCCGGTTTCGGCGCATGATATACGTCACGACCACACGTTAGCGATTGGCTATGGCAGATCCTGAGTGACTCTGGGCAGATCCAATAGTTTTGAACTTTAACAGAGAACCCGCCTACAAGGAAGTAAACGTTTCTCAATGGAGCGAGGCCAGACTCTCTGTACAAATGAAATGTACGAGAGTCTGGTAGAACCAGGCTAGAGTAACATACCGTAATTCCTCAAATAAAAACCGGGGCCTTTATTTACCTGAACTGCAGAAGGTAACAGGCTTTTATTTGAAGCAGGCTTTTGTTAGAGGCAGGCCTTTATTTCAAATTCCATATTTTTAATAAATAATAGGATTGGGCCGATAGACGATGCAATCATCTATCGCGATGGCTGACAGACATCACTATGTTGAGACGGCATCGTGTTCAAGTTGCGGTCTAGCATAACACCCTGGTCTTTTACTGTAGTGGATAAAGTAACAGGACATCCATCTAAATTAAAGTTGTATTGTAAGCGGTTTTGTGGGTAGTTTTTTGGACCAATAAGTAATACCTCCGTTTTATCTGAATTTAATAGCAGGAAATTACACGTCATCCAGCATTTTATATCTTTAAGACACTCTGTCAAATTAGATGAGTTAGTGTTTTCATCTGGTTGTGATGAAATATATAATTGAGTGTTATCAGCATAACAGTGGAAATTAATTCCATGTTTTCTTATAATATTACCAAGTGGCAGCATATATATATTGAGAATAGCAGAGGGCCTAACACCGATCCTTGCGGCACTCCATAGACTACTGACGTTATCTCGATTTTCCCCCATTTAAACAGACAAAATGATAACGGTCTGATAAGTACGATCTAAACCAGCTTAATGCCTGTCCCTGAACACCAGTATAGTTTTGTAGTCGATCCAAGAGCATTTTATGATTTATAGCATCGAACGCAGCACTAAGATCGAGTAGAACTAGTATTGAGATACAGCCTTGGTCAGAAGCTAAAAGTAAATCATTTGTAATTTTAACTAGCGCAGTTTCTGTGCTATGATGCGGTCTGAATCCTGACTGAAATTTTTAATAGATATAATTTTCTTGCCAGAAAGAGCACAATTGAGCGGACACAACTTTTTCTAGTATTTTAGACATAAATGGAAGATTTGAAATGGGTCTGTAATTTGCTAGGATATTTGGATCTAA